ACACGGACCGGGTCGGGCTTGCCGGTCGGGCCGGGTTCGGGCTTATTTCACAGTCCGAAAGTGTATTTGGGATTTCAGGACAGGGTTTTACACGGGCATTTCCTATTTGGCGCCACAGGCGCCAACTGGCGCATGTGGGCGTCCGTAAATGGGCCGGCCCATCTAGGCGCCGGTTGACTATTTTCTCTTTTGATAATTCTATGAACTTTTTTGAATATCGGTGAGCTTTTCTTAGATTTCAATTTCTTTTAGATTGATGAATTTGTTTGAATATCGATGAGGTTTTTTGAAAATGGATGAACTTTTTTTAGATTTATGAACTTTTTTTTCAGCTCGATGAATTTTTTCAAAAATACATGAACTTTTTTTTTGAAATTTTACAAATAGAATGAACTTTTTAAAAAAAATAATGAACTGCTTCTAAATTGGATGAACTTTTTTTTCAATTTAAATGAACTTCTTTTTAAATTGATGAACCTTTTTTGAAGACATTAACGTTTTTTGTCAAATGGTTGAACCATTTTTATTTAAATCTGTTAACCTTTTTTGATTTCATATTTTTATTTTCGTAACAAATAAAAAAAACTGGGGCAACATGCTAGTGGGCCGGCCCAGGCTAGCAACGCTGCAGGCACCGGATCGTTAACGAGCGCCTGCAGCGCTGCATAGGAGCTCCCTTTTTACACGTGCGTGCTCCTGAAAACAACGTCTGGACCAGGCCTTCGGGCTTCGGGCTAACCTTAGGCTTAAAAAAACATTTTGGGGCTTCACGTCAGGCCCAGGCTTATAGTTTGGCTAGCTTGAAACCCGGTTCAGCCCGACATAGGATCAGCCTTAAGGGAGAGCTACTCATTTCTCCCCACTCATATGAACCTGATATCTACCTTTATCATTTTCCTACCTAACTCTATCAGAGTCGTCATAAACCCTAATCATCATCTATAATATGGAGGCTATCGACGGGAGGCCACGACCTCTCATGCCTAGTGTTGCTCCGCCGCTTCACCGCTTCTGCTCTGACCAACACCTCGCCGACGAGCACCTATGGGTCTCCTACAGAACCTCCCCGTCATCAAGCGACCCACCATCGCCTTCCACCTCCGATTCGCGCCCATAGTTGCTGCTCCAGTCAGCTACGCCACCATAACCACCTACAGCGCTGCCGGGAGACATTGATGGGTCCCGCCACTGACCGTGTCCACATCAACAACTAGCCGGGGCAACCCAGCGGGGGAAAACTTTAAGCAGGTTTGGGGTTATTTAGGGGGCGGGGGTAAGGGAGCAGAAATAACATTAGGGGGTTATGTGAACCACCAAGTTTCTCTAGGGTAGTACGATAGTCTTTTATCTTTGGAAAAGGATCCACCTCAACCGACTGATCGTTGTGGTCTTTTAATAGATAAAACATGCTTTATTAATTGTTCAAACCAATGTTTACAGGGATTACAACGGGATCATGATGGTTTCCCGGCCATACTTGACGACCAACATCTAAACCAACAGTTTGCTTTGCGAGGGAATGAGCCTCAAAGTTAAAAAGGAAATGTGATCATAAACTAGAGAGGATTTGTCAAGTTTTCTTTCATTATATTTTATCATAGCTTCTGCAATATGTTTAGTAAAAGATTTATTTTGTTCTTAAGCATTAGGTGAATTTATCATGGATTGCAATAAGGAAATACGTTTAGTCAAAGAACAATTATCATAATTAAAGTCCTTTAATCCAATGTAGTGGGCACATCACTATTTTAAGTCTTGACCTCTCCAAACCCACTTGTCGGTGGTAAAACCGGCAGACCTTGGGGAAGGGTGTCGGTGTCAAAACCGGCGGATCTCGGGTAGGGGGTCCCGAACTGTGCGTCTAGGCGGATGGTAACAGGAGACAAGGGACACGATGTTTTTACCCAGGTTCGGGCCCTCTCGATGGAGGTAAAACCCTACTCCTGCTTGATTGATATTGATGATATGGGTAGTACAAGAGTGGATCTACCACGAGATCAAGGAGGCTAAACCCTAGAAGCTAGCCTATGGTATGATTGTTGTTATGGTTGTGTGTCCTACGGACTAAAACCCTCCGGTTTATATAGACACCGGAGAGGGCTAGGGTTACACAGAGTCGGTTACAATGGTAGGAGATCTACATATCCGTATCGCCAAGCTTGCCTTCCACGCCAAGGAAAGTCCCATCCGGACACGGGACGAAGTCTTCAATCTTGTATCTTCATAGTCTTGGAGTCCGGCTGACGATGATAGTCCGGCTGTCCGGACACCCCCTAGTCCAGGACTCCCTCAGTAGCCCCTGAACCAGGCTTCAATGACGATGAGTCCGACGCGCATATTGTTCGGCATTGCAAGGCGGGTTCCTCCTACGAATAATTCATAGAAGATTGTGAACGCCAGGATAGTGTCCGGCTCTGCAAAATAAATTCCACATTCCACCGTAGAGAGAATAATATGTACACAAGTTCAATCTGCTGACGTATTTGGTGGCATGACGTCATACCACCACCAAGCCTTTACTTGAATTGTTTTTTATTATACCACCTCAGCGCGTTTAGCGAAGCGGTTTCCTTGGCACGTCTTGTCGAAGTAGAGATCGTGTTCCCCTTATTCCGGGATTCCCATCAATACGGATGTGGGTAACCCAACCGCGCCATTGATGGTGGCGCTTGGGAGATAAGCGAGTTTTACCAGGCCGATGGGGACGCATAGTCTTCGTCCGCCTATATATAAGGGGATAAGGATCCACCTTTCACCTACGCCTTCTTCCTCCTTTGCTTATCCATCTCCGCGCACTCGAGCTCCAGCGCCCAAGTCCGCGCATCTCGTCTCAGCCTCCTCCAGTCATGTCCGGAACGGGAGGCAAGTGGTTGGCCTCCTCCGTTACGGAGGAGCACATCGAAAACCTTTCCAGCGACATCGCGCACCGGCTGCCCGACGAGGGGCAGCTCATCCCCACCCCTAGGCCCCATGAGAGGGTCGTATTCCTTCCCCACTTCCTCCGTGGACTGGGCTTCCCACTTCATCCCTTCGTCCGGGGGCTCATGTACTACTACGGCCTGGATTTCCACGATCTGGCGCCGAACTTCATCCACAACATCTCGGCGTTTATCGTCGTGTGCGAGGCCTTCCTCTGCATCCGGCCTCACTTCGGCTTGTGGCTCAAGACCTTCAATGTCAAGCCGAAGGTGGTGAAGGGTGCTCAAGCGGAGTGCGGAGGCGCCATGGTGGGCAAAATGCCCAACGTCACCTGGCTCGAGGGGCCTTTGTGGAGTCCATCAAGGGATGGCAATTGGGGTGGTTCTACATCACCGAGCCGCGTGACCCTAAATGGGCAGCGGCCCCCGAGTTCAGATCTGGTATCCCTATGCAGCTCACCTCCTGGAAAGAGAAGGGCTTGCTATGGGGCGGTTCGGAGGAGCTGACAGGACTTCAGTCCTGTCTCCAGACCTTGGTGAACAAGAAGCTTAGGCTTGTCAATGTGATCCAGGTCATGCTCGTCCGCCGAATTCTCCCCTGCCAACAGCGGGCCTTCAATTTGTGGGAGTTCGATCCGGCACAGCACCGGACCCTGAGCGGGCTCTTCGACACGACGTACGAAGCTGCCTGGAGGGTGCTGTTCAAGGGCGGAGAAGCCCTCGCATCCGCGACGGAAGACCGCAGATTCAGCACCAAGCGCCCAGCCGGCGAGGTAAGCTTTGTTATCCTCTATGGGACACTTATTTTCTTTCATACTTTAATTCTATGCGGGATTTGAAACTCCCAATGCCTTTGACAGGACTGGCAGAGAACGTCCAGACAGGTAGACTATCCGGCTCCCCTTCCCGAAGACCCAGCGGACGCCCGTTTAACGGGGCTGCTAGTCCCGGCACTTTATGTGGTGCTGGAGAAGAAGGCCAAGAAGAAGGCCACGGGAACTCGAAGAAGTTCCCGGCGCCAGGTGATATCGGACTCATCGTCCGATGGCTCCGAGGCGGACTCCTCCCCGAAGACGAGGAGGAGAAAGAGGACTCTCTCCCAGAGGAGGGAGAGAGAAAGAGGAAGGCTTCCCCAACGGGGGAGGCCAAAGGGTCCAAGAGGGGAAGGACTCTTCCCCCGGACAGCTCCGCCAACGCCAACGTTGGCGACGAAGAGTGGCCCTCAAGGGCCAGGCCTCCAGCAAGATCGTAAGTATCCGGATTCCTGAATGATTTATAATTTCTCTTTTGTGCCACATAATGTCCTTCTAATGCCGCACACTACCTGTAGTCCGGCCGATGATGATCTTCCCGCTTCATCGAGCGGGTCCTTGGCTCCGTCCGACGTGGATTCCATTCCGACCGCCTCCACCCCTCATGATGCCGACGACGCCGAGGTGGGATCCCAGGAGGGGACCCATCAGGAGGAGGCTCCGGAGGTGCCGCAAGGCAGCCTCCCGGACTTTGCGTCGGACTCCATGCCGGAACCCGCAGTGGTTCCGGAGCCAGGCAGGCGGCCCCTTTGTAAGAAGGGCAAGACCGTGACGCCGGCAGCCTCCATCCAACCGGAGGCGCCGGACAACTTGTTGGAGGCGCTTAACGGCGCTTCCATCGAGGAAGAACACCGTACTATCATGAGTGCGGTGATTCAGAAGGTTCAGCTCGCCAAGAGCGGGCTGACCGAAGCCTGCAGTAGCCTTCTAACAGGCTTTGAGGTAAGAAATTTTAAAATATGTAATGTAATACCGCATAGACAGTAGCCCCTGATGCTCGGTTCGGTGTTCGGAAAGAAAAACCGGATTGAGGATCTAAAAGAGATATACGCAGGAGTGCTAAAAATTATGTCAATATGGGTTTGCAGGCTGCGCTGCT